ATTCCAGGATTCCAGGTTTCCAGGATTTCTGTTTGATTCTCAATTGGATTTTAAAAGGAATTTATGTGAAGCAATGTCACCTCCAAAACTAGAATTCCCAGGATTTGAGAAGTTTGGAGGCGAAAGCGCCTCCCATATGGATCTTGGGGGGGAGCGAGCATATATACATATATATATATATATTTATATTTGTTATACAGATGTAAATGCATGATAGGAAGGGGGTCGTAGCTATTCATCAGTATAAATATACACATGAATTTAAATGTTTATCTATGATGTGATGAAGTTCTCTATGATGTGATGACGTTCTATGGATGCATGTTTGGATTCTGAAGCTTCAGAGTTCTCGTCGCTTCAGGTTCATTGCGGTGAAAAGGTAGCGAAAAGTGTGCAACATAGGGCCACTCGCGTATGTGAGGTAATGCGGGACGCGAGAGATGCATATATGAGGTATATAGGGGGAATATATCCACACATGGCATCATAGGCGGGGACACGCAGCTTGCGGAGCAATCATGTTGGTACATGGTATCATGCGTCCCCATATGATGTATGGCTGTCTGCAAAATTAGAGGTCTGTTTAACGTTTAGCGTCCTTGTGGTGTGGACGATATTCTTTTCGTTAGCTAGAAGAACCAACCTCAGACACGCCCGCATCCTTGCTCCAAATGCGTCCTAGTTGCGAATGCTGCTCTGACACGTTTTGGGGCTGCATGCGTAGCTCTTATTGATGTTTGGGAAGAGGTTGCCTGAATTGCGGCAGGAAGGCATCACCTTCCCATTTCCCAGTTCGGAGGTCCAAGTCCTGGGCACGCCGCAGAAGAGCCATCGTTTTGAGAAAGCCTTCGCAATGACAAGCCCCTGAAATAAATCACTGCGCTAATGTATTGCACTGTGCACTTTACACAGGAACATAAGCGAACATTGACTGTTTGGCAAATGATGGTGTATCGTGCAAGCCTCAACATGGTACACGGCTAAGGTGTTTGTGAACTTGTGACCTCGCCTCCAATAAACTTGAGTAGATGTAAGCTATGGCATGCCTACGAGCGAAACAGAATGCGCCTCATTGGATCGGAGGATCTAACAGCCCCCCGAACTCTGACAATCCCTTGATGATGCAAAGCCTATGCAAATCCCAAACCCAGAGCACCGCCAGCAAAGATTTCTTGGGCCAGGCGAATGCCGTCGAATGCAGCTCTGGCGGAAAGACCACAAACGCTGACCCTAGCTTTCACACAATCTCCTAATACATCTTGCGTTTGCCAGGGTTGCAAGGGTAAAGCCACAACAGGGCTTATAGGATTCCTACATCTCATGGCTCCATCTCCTTGGGCCCGCACATGTCGCCCATTTAGCAGAAAGCCATAGTGCTGGGCAATTCTCAGCGCTTCGTTATATTGTGGAGAAAGTGTGGCGGCCTTTGTGGTGTGCGTTTTGGTGGGTACTTCCCAAGGGTTTGCGCTGATTTCTGGACTTACGCCAAAGTGTCGCAACAAACCTTGTTCATAAAGGATTGCCAGCAACTTGTTGCTTTTTTTTGAGTCCGGTCAGAAGAAGTTTGCGAGCCTCATGCATTTGCTAGCAGACCTCAGCTCAAGATCCTAGTGACTCACCACAAATAGCAAGCCTCCAAAACTGTGAAGAATTAGTTACTGGTGGTCAGTAGGGAACAAGGGAATATAATCTCCATATAATCCCATATACTGTACCCTTTTCTCTTCTTCGCATCCCGAGATAATTTCCCACTAACCCCAGTAATGACCTGCTGGGGATCTCTAGGGCCAACTCACGCTTCCTGCACCAGGTAGGGTTTAGGGTTTAGGGTTTAGGGTTTTGGGGTTTAGGGTTTAGGGTTTGGGGTTTAGGGTTTAGGGTTTAGGGCCTTTCCGTGATTCTTCTACCAGTCGAAGGCTCCAGCCTGCATGGTAGTCTCCCACAATAGCGGGATCCCAGCATAGACTCCCAAGTACTATGTATAAGGACCCCTTAAATAGGGACCTCTAATTTTGGGAAATCCCCACATGAAAGACCTTTCCTTGGGCACCTACCTTAGTTGGTTGGCATGACCAAGAGTCTTCGGTTTTTTTGATGTTTTCTGCTACAGAATAGACACTGTGAAATCCCTATCGAAGGAAGACCAGCGAAGAGCCAAAGAGCTCCGGGAACAAGCCGGGCTGTCCGACATCTCGGCTTCCGAAGCTTGGGCCAAGCTGCAGCAAGGGGACATGTTAAGCGACAGTCAGAATCTTACTTTTTGTGTTTAAGGAGTATATGTTTGTTTACGGGCTTCGGGGTTGGCTTTTCGTAGTGTTCTATTCTAAGAAGCAATTTTCAAAAATATTTTTTGGGCTTCTGCCTCATGAAGTGTTAGATTTCAACGATACAAGAGTAAGCCACAGTGCTATGCTGAATGCAGGGAGTGCATTGGCGGTTGATTTGGACCCATGTGTGTGAACGCTTGTGGCCACCCACATTTTGACTCCCATACTCTTGAGGTTCAAGTTGCATTTTTCGCCCTGTAGGATCCTAAACGGGCACACAACTTCATGTGCTGACACATGTCAAGATGAGGCAGAAGCCCTGGAACAGATTCCAGGCGTGATCATTGATGAGGGCACCTTCAAGTATGTGGCTCCGGCATCAGCTTTGGATAAGACGGTTGTGATCAGGGCCTGGTGGTTGCAGCTTTTATGGGGGTTTGGGCGTTGGGGGTCATTTATTTCATTATCATTGGTACTCTACTTGTCATGTTTAGGCAATGGACTTCGCGTTCTTGGCTCGGAACAGCAAGTGATGCAGCCAAGATGCTTGCACTTCGTCTCTGCCCAGCGCTACCAGGGACCTCTTGGAGTGTTCAATCATCTGGTCCGCTTGAGGTTCATAGCCAATTCTCTGACTGGGACAATGTGCTGCTAGGATGCCTGAAAATGTATGGGGATTCTAGGAATGTGCTCCAGCATCAGACCCAGTTGGGGAATTTGAAATATACTCATGTCTGATTTCGCAGGCCGGAGAATTTCAGCATGCACAAATCCCACTTCGTACAATTAAGGCTGAGCCCTCGACCCCGTTTTGGCCAGGTTCTCTTGCGTGTCACTGCTGCGAGTGGTGAGACTTGGCCGCCTGGGCAATGCCATGCTCATACCGGTGTCTGGAGAGGTCGGAGCACACCACCAACACTGCCGCCACCACCAGCGCCGCCGCCACCACAAGCACCAGCACCACCGCCGCCGCCGCCACCACCACGACCATGACCATCACCAACACCAACACCGCAAACACCATCAGCACCACCAACACCAACACCAACACCAACACCAACATCACCAACGCCACCAACACACACCGCAACAACCACAACAACCTCAGGAACCACAACAACAGCAACAAGAACAAGACGCGCGAGAAGCAAGAACCGCAGCTGCGGCGGCAGCAGCAGCAGGGGAGGAACAGACAGAAACAACAGGAGAGGAAGGAGAAGTAGATGAGCAACAGCCAGCCTGCCTAAGGAGCAGAAGTATTTGGTCCGTGGCACCTTGGGCGCCGCAACTGGGATCGCGATGTCAGGACTGTTGCGCTGAAGTTATGTGGAGAGCTGCCAGAGCCATTGTCCCTGTTCGGGTATAGCAGGGCCGTATTATTGATAAGTGGGGTAGACAAAGAGAGGACCTACCAAATGGCCCGAGGGTTTGCATGGACTGCCGGGCCGTCATAGATTGCGCTTAGCTTCATGTTCTGAGTGGAGTGGTTCCGGGACAGGGTTCAAGATTTGGTTGCTTCTGCACCTCGTCTTACTGAAAAGCAACAGTCAGACCCGCTTGTATGAAAAAAGTTCTGCAAGTCTCCAATCCCACAGTCCTCGGTGTAATCTCAAGTCCCTGAAGCTGTCAGTCCTCAGGCTTACCACAAGGATGTGGCCATCCCGTATGTCCGCGCGTATCTTCAGGAGGGCTTCGGCGTTGAGGCGGTTTGACTTGGTTGGCTTGTCCAGCACCGTGCCTCTATGTTGAGAGGTCGTTTTACTCGTGGTCACTTTCTCTGCATGATTTTTTGCATGTACCTTTCTCCCCATCTTGACCGTCTGGATTAATCTATGCCTCATGATAGGAGGCGTCTGAGGGAATGAAGCTGGTCAGCACGTGAGGTACTACAACTTTTCCTCACTCCTACCACTACAGCACACATGATGATCGATGCAAATCCCTTCCTTTCGACCTGCGGAAGGTCCTGGGTGGCGGCCGGATTCTGCATGATGTTCCCAGGCCTCTCGTAAGTCGGTGTTAAAGCCTTGGGTATAAGTGGCTGAATGTGCCAAAAAAGAGGTTCTTGCGCCGAAATATGCCAAGAATCCACTGGGGATTGGACACAGAAGTGTCCCCAATACTGTAGATCACTGCAGATAAACGCAAAATGCCAAACATCATGTGAAAAGGCGTCGCAGGACAGGGACATTTTCCTAGGACCATTTGCAGCTTGGAGCAATTTGGCTTGGAAGGTGCGAGCTACAGGTGTGGGACGAACTGCTTCAGCCCCTCATTAATGGTTGCATCAGTTCGGCTTGAGCCTGCCAATCTTGGCCCATGAACAACACTGGCCCCAATAAGGTGAGATGTGTGTAAAATAGAGTAAGGACACAGTAATTATGACCTAAATCGATGCTTCGGAACAGCTCCCCGCAATCACGCTCACAAGATTCAAGATGGTCGCCGCCTGCTAGGAGCTGTTAGACTAGGGCTTGCTGCTTTGTTTCACGTGTCCCTGACATTTAATGGGGAACTCAAAATCCTGAAATTGAAATTCAGATCCTAGTCTTACAGCATGCTGCCTAAATTGTCCTAACCAGCTTCATCAGAGCCAGGGGCTTCTTGAAAATTTACGGCTTCTCCTACGGATTTCCCTGGGCTGACGGCGCGGGGCACCAGATCTCTGCTGAGGAGCCTGGGCATGACAGACCTTTTGTTATTGCCCGCCCCATGTTGCAGCTACGCGTAGTATATGGGGGTTATATGGGGATAATGGAAAAGAAAATGGAAACTACTATAATGGGGTATATAGGGTTCAGGGTTTAGGGTTAGGATTTTCTGTTCAGAGAAGGGCATGGGATACAATGCCTGTGGAGAAAGAGACCATCTTCAGGTAGAAGCTTATAAACTTAAAGATTCATGAGATCTGGGCTTTAGGCGTTCAGTCTTCAGTTTCAGCTTTGCCTGTGTTGGGATCGAGTTAGGGCCCACAAAAGGTCGAAACATTCCCTTTTCCTTGTGCATCCAAGAAAATGAGGGTCACAAGCCACAAGGGAACCTCATTGTTGAGAAGCTTGTGCTTGCGCGTTCTGTATTGACATGGCGTGGCTGCACGCTGAAAGCTAGTATATAGTATGCTTGCGAGATTTCATCGCTCTCAGGACCCCACGAGCCCGACGCATGCAAAAGCGATCAAACAGACAATCATAAAATTGTTGTAATTGAGGAACCCGGGGAAAGTTTTTCCTTTGCTAGGTCTGCAAGGACTTCTTGTCCGGCTATGAGGCAGGCAAGGGAGCAGGAGTAGTCCACAGTATTTATCGTGGTATACATGCACACTGTATGCCCATGCCATCCATTCTTATTCGTAAGCCGGGAATTGCCTCATATCATCTGCTATTTCTCGTGATTGCCGGAAGATTTGGGTGCGTCATCAGCATCGTTGTTTTTAATGCACGCCCATTGTACTGGATGTCTCTTTGGCGCTTATCGCCATTATCCCGGCTATCAACTTAATAGCATTGGTATCCAGCCGGGCTTTGGCACCAGTTCTGAAGTTGGCGCCGAACCTCGGGGTTGTGGGTTGCAAGGGTTGAGTTTGAGCATCGAGCCTCCATCTTCACCCAGGAAGGTGTGAGTGTTGTGTAGTTCTTTTCAGGGTCAGCCCTTTTCCAAGAGGATGCTTCATGGCAATCCTTTGATGATGCTCCAACATGACCTGTATCCAGGATCTCCACTGGGCCGGTTACTGTACACATCCTTGGAAACTCCCCTGCATGCTGCAGGCTTCCAGACGCCTGAAAGTGTACCCCAGCTTACATCATCTCCATGCTCCTGCCAACCCTACCACTGGCATGCTAGACCCGTTAAACTAGTTGTTCAGCCTCGCGACTGACTTTCAACATTCTCAGATAGCTTTCCTAGGTAGACTGGTCAGACGAAGGCTACTGAGCCGGAGCTTGCGAGTTCTTTGCTAAGACTAGAATTGCTTTGTGTTTGTGTTGATACAGCCTGCAAGATCTGCAGCTGTCCGAGGATAGGTGACATGCCAAGGCGGGTCTGAGGTCTAGCTCGCACTTTGCAGTGTTTCCGCAGGGGCAGCTAGGCGGTCGGAACTTCGGAGCACGTAGAGCGCGCAGATGCGGGCAGTGTAGTGCTTCGCTGTCAGCACAAGACAGCCTCAAACCTCGCCATGAATGCTTCTGGCATGGGACGGCATACGTCGTTGGAAGGAAACGGCTGCAGCCCTTGTATGTCCGGTAGGGCATCTCTGATGTACAGAAGAGGTTTGAAGTGCCATCATTCTGGGTCAATTGGTAACGATTTGACGTGTCGAGGACCGAGGATGAGCAAGATCTCCCAGAAAACTTCCATTAGTGAAATCTTAGGCCTAGGCATTTTTCAAGGCATGATCCAGACGCAGGGCTTTGGAGATGTCCACTGGGCCTGTACACTGGCAGTCGCACTTAGCTTCAAGAGAGGCTTTCCACAGTTTTCGCAACACAGGCTTCGAACCAGCGGAAAATCGCGACAACATCAGAATTTTCATTCAGGATCATTCAGGTGTTTCTTGTATGAGTTTGGTTGGTTTGGTCGGTTGAGATACTTTGGAAAAGTAGTCGTTAGGGTCTTTGGTGACGGGGTGGCAGAGCGTTTGTAGTGATTTAGTGGTTGAGATGTATGTGAATGCGTTCAAGATTCAATGCAGAATGACCGTCATAGCGATGTGCCTAGCGCTGGCTAATTTCTCAAATTCGCATCTTTCGAGATTGGGGAGGAAAGTAAGTGGCAAGGGGGCTTGAGATCCTAATCCCAGCTGTGCGGGTTCAGCACGTAGACGTAGGCGTCTTTGTCACGTCATGGCAACTCGAAGTCGGAATTTATGGAAGAAATGCATTTCATGGTTTGCCATAGTCAACAACAAGCATAATGCGGATGCTGCCATTGTGCACAAGTCCTAATTTACACCAGTACCACATTTCCCGCAACATGCACAAGTTCTTATAGCCCGGTGAATCTCTGATAAACAAGTGGGGGTGAGGTAGGCTAGTCCAGTCTGGTAGTTCCGTTTATTACTTGGAGCTTTCAATTGTGGTCTTTACGTGACGGTGCTAGAGGCCGGTGTGCGCAACTTGCTTCTGGCGCCGGCCACGCCAGATCCTCAGCAACATTGCAAGATTCTTCCAGTCAGAGTCCTGGCAAGGGTGAGTCTTGGGCGGTTGGTAAGTCTTAGGCGGTTGGTTCCCTGCAGATCTCACGATGTGAGGGCTTCTGCAGACACCCTCTTTCCGTAGCATTGGTGGAGCATGCAGTGTTCTGCAAGGCCAGCGTCTTCCACTCAGTTCAGTTCGGTTCCCAAGCATTCTAAAAGAGCTGCTTTGTCTTGTGTTTCGAAGTTGCATATCGAGCACCTGGGGTCTTGCGACGGTCTTGCGTGCGTTCCGGCATCGGTCTGGTTCCAACTTGAAGAATTTTCTTGCGCGGTGTTTGGCGATTAGAGTCTCTGCGCATGTCTTTTGATGCCCAGTTTTTAAAAGTGTTACCTAGCGCGCCTGCTCCATTGGCTGAACTTGCAACGAGTTACATTACCCTCCAGCTTTAGCACAGCCACGAAAAGAGACGTCACACTCAAATTCTGCTGTGCTGGAGGCTCATGGATTCCCGAGCGCGCGGGTTCTGAAGTGAGGGCTGGTTTCTCGAAAGCCGACATACAACAGTTCTACTGACAAGGGAAATCACGAGTAAGGTGCCTGCTGCCTTCCAAAGTTTCCAGACGGGGGGTACTCTACCATACTCTGAGCAGCGAGTAGTTGTGATATTCGTCCCATCGCCACTCTTAGTTTTTTTTTGCACTCCCAGGAGCTCGGCAGCACGCATGTGTCAGCTACTAAGCTTGTAATCGTTAAATCCTATGCAACTAGGCAATGCTGAACGGTCGCATAATAGGCTCTCAGAGTTTGTCCGTAAGGATTCTGACCCGACCTTGCAGATCAATGTCCCATGTCGGTATTTACAGCATACCTCAAGGGTTCCTGGGTTGTACCTTTCATGTCGTACCCCTAAAAGGTTTTGCTTAATGTAGCCCGTACATGAGCCAATGTAGTCCCCTAGATTCCCGTACAAGGATCCCAAAACCCAGGTGTACAACCCTAGGGGTACAAGCCCGAAACCTTTGAATACCTAGGTGAAGGGATATGAAAGATAAGTGCTTCCGTGCCCACCCAGTACTTATAACCAGGAGGGGTTACAGATGCCTCCTGATATGAGAATTATGTGAATCATGTGCATTCCGCCGTAGCGTTGCAGACGCCCGTAGCGGCCCTCTGCAAAGTTGGCTCAAGACGTAGCATTTTTCAACGTCTGAGCTTCAAGTGCCAGCAGAAGAAGGTGCAGAGATTCTAGCAGTGTCTCGATGGTTTGCCTAAGGGTCGGAAGCAGGTTCCCGGCATGTTTTGGAGAGACGCAGTGGCTGGAATGCTACAGAACACACTCTGATGATTTTGAGCAAGTAGTCAGGCATTGGGAGATGCAGCAATAAGCCACATGTGCTGACCCGCGTGCAAGGTCTGCATGACAGTTTAAACAACTGGAAGCTGGAGCTAGACCTGTGGGAAGCTATCCTTCCGGCTCTCGGCCTGTGTTGTTTCCATCCAGGGCTCATTTCATTCTCCGCGAACTGTTTATTTCCAATGAGTTTACGTTCACATACTGGTGCGTGCTTGGTTCTCAACCTGCTTGTTCTCTATATAAGCTAGGGTCGAAATTACCGTTATCGCAAAGTCGTAAAGGTGGTGGTTGAATGAGTGGAGCGATGTACAGACCACTGCAAGACGATACAGGGCAGCCTACAAAACGATAACCCAAAGCAAGGCCTCCCAGACCTGCAAAACAACATAGGGCATAATAATTGGGGGGTTTCCCAAAATTAGGGGTACCTACTATAATGGAGAATCAAATGGAAAATGAAATGGAAACTGTGTTTATGTACCATTTTGGGGATCCCAATAATCAGGACTATAGTATATTGGGGTCTATATTGGGGTCCCCTTATTTTGGGAAACTACCATATAGGGCATAATAATTTAATTCCACCATTACCACAAACAAGCAATATTGACGCCAGCTCATACAATATTGCAAAACCCGTTGCAGATTGCTGACTCTTGCATGGTTCCAACTCCGAGATCAGAAGTTGTGGGCCAGCACTTGTTAGATGCTTGAAAGTTGTTTGGTTTGTTGTCGTTGTGCTTGTCGGGTGCCATATGCTGGGAAGTGTGCAAGGTGCTCGAGAGGCTTGGAATGCATAACCTTGCAGGCATTTCATTCTGTGGAGATTACGATTGATTACCTGCATGCTTGGCGACCAGCTTCAAGATAGATTGAAGTCTACATTGACATAACCATAGGACAAGAGCCTCTCAGCTTGTACTCCCTTCCGCGGCGCAGTGTAAAGGCTGCCCAATTTCAACCATTACTTCTGACGTGACTCTTACCCGACACGATTATGCTACAGACCAGCAAGTGATGAGATCGGAGGGGATCATAGACAAAACGTATCATTCATGTGTTAGCGGCATATTGCTTGCAAGCAGACGTGTCGCCATGCGCTTCGCCTGAGACTGTTCGGTGCGATGGTTGGCGCAGAGGAGGAGGACCCTCAATCGCGAGATTCCGAAAGCCCATGAAGTGCTTAGTGAAGTCAATACCCCCAGATTAAATTTGTAATTCCCAGAAATCCGTACTGTCCCCAAAAGTACTCCGATTTCAGAAGCTCCCAAGTTATTAGCCTCTAAGTGGCCCGGTGTGTGTGAACGTAGCTCTGCCGTGTTTGTTGTTTGGAGCCTCCATTGGATTGGCACTCTCACAACCTCCCGCCTTGAAAGTTGTGTGCATATCTGGACCGCTATGGGCCTATGCACGCATGTATTCCTGTGTAAGGGGCTGGATACATGAATATCTGCGTGTGGGCTTTGCGGTGTTATGGCTAGTGGCTGTCAGCGGACACTTGCATGGATGCATTCTTAATGCAATCACGTCAAGCTTACTTGAACTGACTTGCCCCACAAGGTATTCCTGACCCTTACAGTTGAGTTCTGGGGCTTGCAGAAGGAGAGGTTTAATTTTAGTGCCAATGCGGCTACGTTCTTATGTTCTGTACCAACAGCGGACCGGCTTGCGACCACTGCGTGCATGCTGCTCATGCGGTGCGTGGCGTTGCGAACTCGGGAGGACCACCTCATCCAGAATGTTCTGGCAGCAGCAGTACGCCTGACGGAGGACGCGTGGTGAAGACCTGCCAGCCTGAGCAGATAGTGCCAGACAACCTGGGGCAAGCTTCGCATAGCATTGACATGTGGCGTACTCTGTTGCTGTGAGCTTGAATTCTATAAGCACATGTACAACAGCTGTGACCCATGCCGGTTATGTTGACGTGCGGAGAATGACGCAGCAGCTTCTGACACAAGCACACTCACAAGTACAAGCTGAATCAACAGAAATGCAGCTTTGCGAAACGCATCCTTTGACGCGTAGGATGGCCAAGAAGAGCTGAGGCGCAGGGAGCTGAGATAGGAGTAGCATCGTAGGGTTGTAAGGGCCTCAGCTTAGCAGTAGAGACTCCATCCCCGTTCTGACCTGGGAGTGGGCGTTTTCTCAGCAGTCTAAGGGATGCTCGTGTAGTCAGGCTGTCTTTCAGAATCCGATGCTGCCAGGCCTTGTTCTGCTTGTTTTTTAGGCTCACAGGCTTTGTAATTAGGGCCTATCTTAGGGCAACCGTGTCATATTAACGGCATCTGGTGAGTTGTTAACATCACGTGCCTGTTCTGGGCCCTTCTGCCAATGCTTGTTGTGGATCCCTGACAGTCCTTGAGGCCTTTTCGACGCAGACTTGAAGTTGCCAATGGCCAAGAGGCCGAGTGCATTGTGCTCAGCTACAGCCATTAACTCCTCTA